CAAAACAACAGGCAACACAGACCCAGAGACTTGATCAGGAGTTATCACCTGAACAATTCATCAGACATACGGGGGGTGTTTCACTTATTTCAAACCTGTTGCAGCTTTTAACAGAATATTCAAAGGGGGTTGCTTAGGGCTCTGCTGGGGGCGGGTGGACTTCCTTTTATGCAAGTTTTGAGAACAGAGAGTTGTTACTTTTGAGAGACATCGCTCCTCTTCTAACTGTGTGACATAGCTGTGAGGAAGTACATCTCTTCGAAAAACATTTATCCAACCAGTTCACCTTACCAAGGTCAAGTCAGTTGTATTCTAGTAAGCTTTTTGGTCAAAACGCACTCTGAGTCTTTTCTTCAAAATCACTTTTCACTTATGGCAGATATGGGAGACACAAGAGTTTTTACTGAGGCGATAGCCCATCGTTTACTGGAAGAAAGAGAACTTTGTAAGCCAGAATCTACAGGACCTTATTCTTAAGTTCCCAGCTTTCTTTCCTCTCCACCCTCTCCTTTATTCCCTGTGTGTGAAGAAAAGCACCAGGAGAGACTTTTATTTTCTTTTTCTTCTTTTAATTTGTTCAGCATCGAAGGAGGGAAGGTCATAAACATTGATTGTCATTTACAGGAAACATTCAGAAATCATGTGTGCATTATCTGGGAATGCTAACAGTATTCAACTAATAATTTACAGGACATAAAATAAGGACAAACCCCATTACATTCTAAAGTAATATAAAACTCTCTTTAGTTGTTAGGGGGTGCTGCTTTAATCTATTATATTTATAATTAAAAAAAATTCAATGCTTACTGTCTAAATGACTCAGGCTGCAGATTTACTCACATACACAGAAATTAGGGCTTATATATTAAACAAGGAGAGAGAGAGAGAGAGAGAGAGAGAGAGAGAGAGAGAGAGAGAGAGAGAGAGAGAGATCAGAAAATTGTAGATTTAAAAACTACATGTATCACTGGGTTTATTTGTAGTTTGCCTTTTTGCCTCTACAGGTTGGTAAGAGTATATGGTAATAGCATAATTCAGCTCCCGAAAAATCAGTGGTTGACTACAGGAGGCATTGCTCTTTTTTAAAAGTATACCTAGCTTTTCAGAACGAATGCTTTTATTTTACATACTTGCGGCACTGCAACGTTGGGGCACTGCTAACAGTGGTGTGCATGCTAAGGAGGAGCAAACTGCACCTTGCGCACTGCTCCTCAGGTGCAGCTGTGGAGTAGGCACAGCCACCCCCCAGACAGACCCTGGCTTCACCTCTGGACTCAGTGGCTCTGCGCTTTGTACTGTAGCCTGGAGCTGTGGCAGAAGCATTAAATCTCAGAACATCAGAAGGATAGGAAAATCATGTATCTCAATCCTAAAAGCAAGGAAGCATTGTCAGGGATTTCAAAAATATTGGAAAGTCTCATTTAAATCTAAATATCTTTTTATTTTATAAATCGATCATCATAAAATACTAGCCTTTTAAAGTCATATTTGGGATGCAGGAAAAACATCAGTTTCACTGGCCTGCTCTCGCCTATGTTGTTATTTTTACCACATCTCAGATTTTTCCCTACCTCTCAGTCTCTCCCCAGCCCTCCCCCAGCTTCTTTACAACATTTATTTGGTGGAGGTCAGTTATGGCTTCAGCAAATGAGTGGTCTGACCTCAAGTCATTAATAAGAAATAAACACGTACAAAAATATTTTGTTCATCAGAAAGCAGGGTTTGTTTTCCTTAAGCTAGTCCATGCAGAATGGATTTGGACAGAGCCATTTGCTATGAGGAAAGACGATTCCACTTAGACAACAGTCTCTTTTTAAGCATCCCTTTCTCCTATTGTCTAGTTCAGATGGAGTTTGCAGGTCTTAGGCCAGTCTTCAACACTGAATTCTTTGGAGCAGTTAGTTGACAGCCCTGTCCCTTTCCTAGTTGTATTACAAAAAGAAGCAGATACTTAACACCAATGACCCACCAAGATGCTTAAACCTTTACAACCGTTTTCCATTTAAAAAACTGAGAGGTACATAACACTCAGAAAGGAAGCAAGTACATATTTTATCTTTGTTTACCCCCCTCTACAAAATTGTTACAAAGTCTTATGCTTAAACAGAGACATAGAAAAATCAGTGTATTCACTGTCTCTAGTTATTTACAGCAAAAATTACAGAGACAGCATACATTGTATTAGACCTTCCACAAGCATATATTAAAAGTAATTACATTTGAAAAAATATTTTTTTATTTTTCCTCTACATTTCTACAATACATACTCAGTTTTCTGTGGGTGTAGTTTCCATTCTTGGGTGTGTGTTAATGGGATGAAGCAAACGGTGCTGTGCTTGGGTGTGGGGCTTGTGGCTTTCAGACATTCCCCATGAGTGTCTATGTACAGCTGTGCTGGTGACATGAGACTGTTCACCGTTAGCCACAGCCAGAGAATAAGTGATGTGACCCTCATGCTGTCAACAGGGGTGCAGACAACCTGTATTTCCCAGAGTTGGGCTTTATTTCATTCCAGTAATCTTTGTGCTTTAGTTCTGGCTGTGAAAACAACCACTAGCCTGGTCTCTCTGATCCACTGGAGGTTGTGCTTTGGTCATGCAGGAAGCAACGGTTGCTGTGACCAGTTCACCTCAGAGGAATTTCAGCAGCTTCCAGGGGGGAAAAAAGTGCACAGACAGACAGACAGCCCCACCTGCTGTGTAGGAACCCGTGACCTGCACTTCAGAACAAGGGGGCAAGGCTATCTGGATGGCAGAATAAATTGCTCAGAAATGTATCACTAAGAGAAAGTGAGAAAGTGTCACAGATTTTTGAAGCCATACATTTAAGGACAGGCTCGAAAACATGAAAGTTATACATCTGACTTTCAGAAAAAAAAAATGGACAAGAAATCTAGTTCTCTCGGCTCTTCCACAGTGGAGCTCGGCAGGACACGTGGGAGTGGCTTTTGTAAGCCACCATTCAATTGATTGGCCTCTTTCTTTCGATTGCGGTTTGGTTCGAGCCACTTGTTGCTCTATCTTTGAGCAGTGGTGGGTTAAATATCGAAACTCAATTGAGAATGAGACAGGCAAGATCTCTCTTCTCCCCCCTAACTCACACCATTCTAACACCACCCTCCATCAAATCTGGCCTGACTGGCTCTCTAGATGTGATTTTTTTTTTATATCAACTAGAGGTGGCAAGCTGGCAGTCTATGGACCTCTTCTGCTCAGAGATGTGTTTGTTTGGTCTGTGCTGTGCTCAGAGGCGACTGTCACCATTTACAACCCGAGACAGCTTCCGTAACTCAGAAGCACTGTCAGCATGCAACCTCGGCTGAACACTGGCTGTCGTATTGTAGGTAGGGCATCTCCTTGCTAGCTTTCTATGACTGCAACGCTATTTGCATGCACTCCTTGCCATTTTTTTTTTTTGTGTGGGGGGCGCGTTGAGTTTTCGTCTGTTGATTTGAACAGGCGGGCACCTCTGGTTCTGAAACATACTCCTCTCAAAAAGAAAAAAGGGTTATCAGCCCGTTTCCAAAAGACCCCAAAGCTCCCCACACCAGGCCTTTCCTCGGGCTATGTGTGGACCAGCAGTTGCATATAGAGCATCAAATAGCACTTTATCTTGGTGGCATTTCCCTCCTCTTTATAAGGGGACTCTGCAGACATTTCCCTCAGGTGCATACATAAAAGCTCTATCTACCATTCGGTGCTTGTCAGAAGAGCAGAGACATCCTTGCCTGAACCTACTGCCCTTTGTGGTAATTTCACTAGAAACAAGAGTTAATGCAGGAAAAAAAAAAAAAAAAAGAGCCAGGAAAAATGATTTGGACAGCAGCCAAAACTGTCCTGCTTCTGGAATAAGGAGAAAGTAAGGGTGTGGAATGGCGCTGACGTTACTTGCTTCTGGTGTTTTTGAAAAAAAAAAAAAAGGAAGAAAACAAAAACAAATAAACAACAAAACAGGAACATTTTTGGCTGTCCACGGGCCCTAAGAGTTATTTTAGCATTTGAGTCTCTTAGGCACAGCATTATAATGAGGCCGTGGGAGCTGGCTATGCATCTTCAAGGCTTCCTCCAAATAGTTCAGCCTGACTGCTGGAAAGTAACCTGCTGGAGAAGGCAGCCATGATGGAAATGCACTGATGTCCCCCGTTGCCTCTTGTTAACATCCAGTGGGGTACAATCTAGAGTCTCCCAGCTACTGCCAAAGGAATCGAATCACCGAAGACCACAGTGGTCTCTGCTTTTTACTTAGAGGTACTTTAGCCCAGAGCCCTGAAGAAAGTATTAAGAAAAAGAAAATGCAAAAAGTGTGCTTGGAAAGTATCTCCTGACCTTCAACGTTTAATCTGGGAACAAAAGAGCCCCAGAAAAACTGACACCAAGATAGGCCAAGTCACAGACAGCATGGCCATTCGTAACTGTCAACCCAGATTTGAAATCTCTCACTTTCCTTCCAAACTTTGCCTTTCTTTCTCCAGAGTACAGATGCACTGGAGCTGTCATTCACACAGGCTGTCAGCTCTGTCCACTGACAGTTCCATCCCTGCATTTCTTTTGCTAACAACTTACACAGGAAGCCTGGAGTAACTGGGAGATAAGTGTGGCAGCCTGGTTGTTTTGTTCTTTGCTCATTTCAGAGAATGAAACTAACGTGTTTACTTGTGTAGAACTTTCAGGCAGGTCCCAAGAAGAAAAGCAGTTCATTCATTTTCTGACACGAAGCCACTGTGGCTGGGCCGAGGCCTGTTAAGAGAGGGTCTCTCACTTCTGACACTTAGGTTTTATTGTAGTCTTTCTGTTTATCCCTTCCCCCTTCTCGATGAATATTTTGTTAATGAAGCATCCCTGAGCAGATTCAGTGCAACATCTGCATCCAGCAGTGATTGTCATCCTTGAGGCATGAAGGAGACTACAGACCCCAGATCCTTCTTCCAGCGCATAGCTCATCCTACCACATTTTGAACATTGGCCAGTTCTCAGGAGAAGGAACAGCATGCTGAGACTGTGTGTGGTAAAGGGAGTTTTTTTTTTTTTTTCTTTTCCTACTGAAATTTCCTGTAGTCACTGAGATGTTCAAAGGGCAGTGTTTAAAGGCTTTCTTAACCATTAAAAACATGACTTGATTCTCTTTTAAGGGAAAAGTTGGCAACTGCAGCCAAAACTGGAGCTCTCTCCTCTGGCTGGAAAGTAGGTTGTGCCTGTACTGCTCACCACTGTATGGTTCTGACTCAGTTCCTAGCTGACTCCTGTCCCTTTGCTTCAAAAGGTTCACACTGTCCCAGGGAAATGCCAGCACTAGTGGAAATGACACAGTTTCAACACCAATATCCCCCCCCCCCCCCCCCCCCCCCCCCCCCCCGAGGCAAATGTGGGGAACAGTCTTTTTCCTACACCACCTGTGGAGCAAAGGAGGAAAAAAATTCTCCGCCACTTCATCGATGAGGCCGATGTAAATCCTCTAAGGTAAACTGGAGACAACAAACAATTCCCTTTGCAGCCGAGCGGGATTTACGGGCTGACAATGGGAAACACTGAGCCAACAGAACAATGAAAACAAAGTTTGACATGAGTTCAAAGCTCAAAGGGGACCGCCAAGTAGACACAGTAAGCATTGCCTATTGCAAGCCAATCATAAAACATACATCGCATTTGGAAGCAGCTTGGTTTAATTGAGTGCCTTCCATTACCCTGTTTTCCTAGCAATCAGAAAAGTATCTTTCCATTAGAAGGAAATATGACTCTTGGAATTAATTCTTTATACAAAGAGCTAGCAGGAGTGACATTTAGACCAAAAAGAACCGAGTCCCTGTAGCAGCATAATAAGCAGTCTACAGCTGTCTTCTCAGAACCAAAGGTAATTTGGTTCAATGTAGTTAAATTAATTGAATATAACAGTGGTTGAAAAAGAGATTCATTATTTTAAAGCCTTTTTGTTTTCCCCCAATGGCTTGGAATTCATCAATCATGAGGTGAGAAAAGCCCGTTTTCTGAAAGGAAAGACTAACAGGACTATTTTGATCATCCACCAGAGTTCTGGGAAATTTTGGAGATGACTCTCAACCAAGAACTTCAGGAGAATGTAAGAGATTTAAAACAAACAAGCAAATAAACAAACAACCCCCCCCCCAAAGTTTCTATTAATGAAGATTTACAAACGTGTGTGTGTGTGTGTGTGTGTGTGTGTGTGTGTGTGTGTGTGTGTGTGTGTAAGGAGAAAGGGGCAGGTTTTTATAAGCTAGGGGCTATGCTACACTTACAGTACAACATAGCTTTTGATGTCTTATACGCAAATGTATCCCCTAGCTGCTTCTTTGAAAATCTTAGTTTGGACTAGGTCATACTAAAGGCCTAGGCCTTACAGAAACTGGAAAAACTATTGGCTGCAAGCTCATGCTTTTCTCGTGCTTAATTTCATAGGAATTAGGGTGAAGAGCCTGTATAGGTCACCCTTACATTCTGTTCTTTTAAGTGGTTACAAAATGACCAATATGGATAGAGGATGTCATTTAAATCTGTATAGGAAAGAATTTTGGCTTTGGGATACATCAGTCTCGTAGACAAAACATTTAATTTTTTCTAATCTTTTGAATTTTTGCTCTATTTTTATAATACAGCATTTTGAAGCTGAAAAAATTGGAGGCCCCAGGCTCTAGATGGCTTTCTCCTTTCTATTAGCCTGTTTTCTAACAAATTGTAATGAGTTTGAATTTAATGACTGACTCCTTTACTTTGTATATTCTATTTCTTTCAGTTCTTTGGGAAAAAATGATTAGAAAATGTCTGTCCAAAATGGCACTGGGACCTTGTTTTATACTTCTAGTCAAATATTTCTAAAAACATTGATGGTAGTCATAATCTATAGACTGATTTTTCCCTTTTTTTTTTTTAAAGAAATAAGCATCAAAGTCAAATTTCTTTTACAATTGGGAATCTGAATCCAAAGGGGGGGGGGAAAACCCCAATATTTTGTATTCTGGTGAAAAATAGGAAATATTATTGTCGGGTTTACAGCCTGGTTTGTGAAACAGGAAGATGGCTTCAAACCCTCCCCACCCCCCACCCCATATGCCATCTTGATAGGGCTTTGAAGTTACTGATAGAAATGGAGCTTTTAGAAAGCAGCTATACGTTACACAGATTCCTTTGTAGACTTGCTTCAGAATGGGCACTATCCTGTTGTTAGGTGTGGATGAAAACTCTGGCTGGAAAAGAAAACCCTGATTGTCTAACATAAAAGTAACATATAACAGAAAGTAAATCACATGAGAGAGCCTGACGGAACCTCCATTGCCCGTGGGCATGGTATTTGAAGCCACAGTGCATGAATACGTAATAGTCATATATAATACTCTTACATATTATATATTCATTACATACATGCACAGTACTTTCCAAGACAGTTACAAATTTCCACATGCATCAACTATCTAAAAACATAGAAATAGGTAAGCTTAGTAAGGGGATTTTCTTAAATTATATTTGAACAATCAACAGGAAAAGTAATCATGTAAAGAACGGCTCTGTTCTTGTATATATCTACAGTAAAATTCTATAAACAGTTGTCTCCAAAACATACCCGAATAAAATTAAAAAAGATAACACCCAGTGTCCTATATTTGTATATTTATGATCATTTCAAAAACAAACAAACAAACAAACCAAAGAGCCCCACTCAGGTGCATATTTACATTCTTCAAACTGTAGCGGTGAAAAATAATTCTATTAAGTGCAGGACATTCCTAATGTTGCAGTAGTGACATTTTCCTTAAGTCTCCATGAACACATTGCTTTTGTCTTAACGGCGATGCATTCCATGACTCTGAGAGTTCTCATCCCCTTCATTTGCAGACCGCAGCACAGTCAGGATTAAAGAGCTCCTTGTACAATGGAGGAAACAGTGTATTCACTATGTCTGGATGAGACTGCTTAAAGACCTGCAGCTTCTCCCCATGCAAGTTGCAGACTGCCGTGATAGTTGGTATCTTGGCTATTAACTGCAGAACACAGAGACAGAGGGAGACAAAGAGGAAAGCTCATTAGTGGACTGTCCTGTGAATTAGTGTCTTTCGGGGACCCAGATAAAGGTAAATGGCTTTGAAAAAAGAGGTTTGGAAAGAAAGAAGGCTCACTTTCAGCTTCCCTTGAAAAGAAAACAAAAACATTCCTCATCCCATGGTCTAAGGAAAAAGAGAGAGAGAGAGAGAGAGAGAGAGAGAGAGAGAGAGAGAGAGAGAGAGAGAGAGAGAGAGAGAGAAAGCAAGCAAGCAAGGAAGGAGGGCTAAGGCTCCTGGCTCATTGTTCTGAATAAAATATGCACAGGAGGCGTTCTTGTTTAGTAAGCATGAGTGGGTGCTGAGCAGGCAAGCCATCTGAATAGGAATCCTGCTTCCTCACAGTCAAGGACAGTGAGACAGTGTGACTCTGAGGCACTTTGTGGCTCAGTCTTTTCACTTGTAAAATGGGCTTGTTAATCCCATCTTTCTCTTTGAGTTATGTGGCCTGAGTGAGGAAATGGATATGAAAGTGTTCAGGAATCTGCAGGTGTGAAATGTAATTGTTAGCTAATAGTATCATTACCTGTCATTTCCTACAGACTTCTAGGACATGAATATTAGATTTCTAAGCTTTGAAGGATGACAATATTAGGAAAGGAAAGGAACTCAGTATGAGGTTATAACACACAGGCAGAGGAGACTGTGGGGAGGGAGGGATGGGAGTCAGCAGGAGGGGAGCAGGGGAAATAGAGAGGGAAGTGGGCAGGGATAGGAGTGAAGTACATGCTGTGTACGCATGACGGTGTCATAATGAAGTTCATTATTTTGTACACTAATTACAAAATTTGTTTAACGTGTGACCCATGACTATCCACAATTCTTGGAAGTCAGACTCACTGAATCTACCTGTGTCTCCCTAACCTTTTTTTGACTCTGATCCAGAAAATGAGACTACGTTTACTCAAAAAAGTCTGAGACTACTCAAAAAAGTCTGAGAGGTACTGGCTTTGATGTCCTTAGGGAAGTATTTCACAAACAAGTGGAAGACTAGCCTGTAATCACCAGGCTTTGATTAAGTCTCCTCTTCCCTTCCTCCTGCTCCTCTTCCTCCTTTTTCTTGCATTAACGATGGAACCAAACTCTTGTGCATGTCAGGTGGGTGCTCTATCATAGAGCTATATCGACAGCTAACATGTATATGTATATAAAAATCATTATATTATATACAAACATAATTACATATTAAAGTATATTTCTTTGAGTTAAGTAAGAAAACAATGTTTGATGATAATTTAAATGATTCCCCATTGTGCTGCATGCTACAAAAGTCTTAGGAGATGAACATTTCTGTTGTTAAACATGCTTACAATCATCCTTTAGTATCAAATTAACTTAAGCATATGTTCATACGACAATATTACTCTTAGGATTGAGATAAACTCTTCTACAGGGAACACTCTTACTAAAGGTAAGTGTGGCAGTTCACAGAGCTGTTTGAAGATGGACTGCAAAGTGATGATGATAAAATATAGTTAAGCAAACCCATGTGATGACCTGGTGGGCTCCCCACATTCCTCTCTCACCAATAAGAACACATTTCAGCCTCTGAAGTGGAACAGCAAACAATCACCTTGTGGTTCTTCAAAATCAGAAATTTCTGTTGGAGACCGACTCCGGACAGCTGTGTCTTGAATTTTGTGTGACCTTCCTTACTTTATCAAACCTTGCAAAAAACAGGTTCCTGGCCTAACCGCGGGCTGTACAACTTCCTGGAGTACGTGCTAATCAGCCAGCTGCAGGGGCCTGGGACCAAAGCGACCTCACCCTTCCTTAGGAATTTTCCATTCTTCTCTCCTTTTGCTTCCTCTGCTCCCCCTCCCTGCCTGAAGCCCTGCTTATAAACCTCAATACCCAGTCAATAAACGAGACCTTGACGCGACTCAGACTGACTCTGTCTTCCCTTATGCGCCTGGTCTCCTTTCTCTCTCGCCCCCATTGATCTTTCAGGAGGTGCCTCCTCGGGTCTCCCCAATAACCTGGCCCGTGGGACAGGTCAATTTTCCCCTCTTCCACTAACTTTCCTTTTAACCACTAATTATTCTGTAATGATTCCATGAGAAATGTAAAGCTAGTTTTAGGAATCGAGCTGCTGACACACTAAAGGGCTCTAGACACATCTTTATGATGTGAGGCTTCAAACATTCAAAGATGTTTGAGGCTTCTGGCTCTGCAACCTAGCCATTTCTGCTGCTGTCTGAAGAAAGGCTAGGAATGAAAAAAGGTAGAATCTTTGTAGTCCATGTCAGACTTCAGACTGAGAATCAAGACTTTATCTTCAACAGTATGAACTACATTCCTTTCATTCAAGATACTTTACAAAAATTAACTGCATGCTTATTTTATATCAAGGCTTCCCTAGACACTGGAATGCACAAAACTGTTATGGATTTTGCCCATAATGTACTTGCTAAGACAACTGGAGATTAAGTGACCACACTGACTAGCACAGAGAGAAAGGCTGTGGTCAGAGTGGATGGGTGGTAGCCAAGAAGTGGTAGATATTTGGATGTCCTAACTTCTTGTAACAAGCCTTCCCTAAGATGTGGCAGCAAATCCGAGCAGGGAAGGAAGAGTGGGAATTGTGCAGGCACTTGGGCACAAAAAGATACTGGATCAGGGGCAAAGACACTGGCCATGTAGTGTGCTGAAGGCAGCTTCGGTTTACTGAGGCAAGGGGAACATGGATTTGGGGTTAATGATGGTTGAGAGATGTGCACAGCCAGAATATGGCAGCTCTTATGGTCCATGTCACAGTCTTCGGCTTTAAACATAAAGATGACCAGAATACCATTCTGAAAGACTCACTTTGAGTCTGGGGTACAAAGGTGTCTTTTGTATATTTTTATATGTAAACAGTTTGTAAGTGTCCACTTAACTGGAGCCCTTGGGAAATTATTGAAGCTTTCTTAACCAGCTGCCTCACACAGAAGGAAACTACAACAATTTAGAAACACTTCCTGCACATTACAGTGCTCCCTGAAATAGTTATTGAGTGCAGAGAAGCTCTGAAAGCCTCCTATAATCATGTGCTGTTGAATTGATGATCTGCAGTGCTGCCGAAACTTCCAGATGCAACTGTGAAATGACTGCCAATCTTTAGTGTGATAAGAATCACTGGAGGGCTTCTTCAAAGTGCAGATTGCCAGGACCCTCTCCCAGGGATTCAGTTCCAGTATGTCAGATTCCATGCTTGAAGTAAACATCCCCTGTGAACACTCATGTCACAAGCCCGTGGAATAGGCTCTGAGAAACAGTGCCTTGGAGGCTCAGATTTTGTGGGGAGAAAAAAAACTTTTAAAAAATTGACAAGTAAATTCTGTATTCTCTCTGAATTGGTCCTATTCCTCAAGTGTCAAGTAGGTACTTTCAGGTGACAAAGACATTTTCATGTCTACAGAGGGAAGACTGTATTTGCTCCTTCTATTATATGATGAGGGACAAGTTAGGAGTCCTTGGTGACATATAAGCATTACATAGAGAGAATAATGGATACAGGGCTTTAGAATCAGGCTATTTTGAAATCCTAGTACTGCCACTCATACAATCTTGGCTAAGTTGCTTAACTCAACTTCCTTATTAGTCAGATGTTGTGTTAGGGTTCCTGTGGCTATGATAAAACACCATGACCAAAAGCATCTTGGGGAGGAAAGAGTTTATTTCAGCTTACAACTTATTAGTCCATCACTGAGGGAAGCCAGGTCAGGGACTCGGCAAAAACCTGGAGGCAGGAACTGAAGCAGAAGCCATGGAGGAGTGCTGCTTACTGGTTTGCTCCTAGTAGCTTGCTCAGCCTGCTTTCTTATACCATTTAGGACCACCTACTCCTTGTCAGATTGGCCCACCCACATCAATCATCAATCAAGAAAATGTTCCACAGGCTTGATCACAGGCCAATCTGGTGGGGACATTTTCTCAATTGAGGTTCCCACTTCCAAAATGACTCTAGTCTGTGTCAAGCTGACATAAAAACTAGCCAGCACAGATGGTGACTGTAACATTTCCTGCTTCAGAGGGAGGTTGGGAGGATTTAATGAGTCAATACACATGGTTTTATAGTGCTGCCTGCCGTCTGCTGACGACACACATGATGGCTATTGTATTAGTTACTTTCTAGTCATTGCAACCAAAACACCAGAGAACAACGTCATGTGCAGGATTTTCATTTTGAGTCACAGTTTCAGAAGCGTCAGGTCATCATGGCACTGAGGGAGTGAGAGTGGGACAGAGGGAATTTTATCAAGGCAGGCAGCTAGAAGTATGTGTGTGTGTGTGTGTGTGTGTGTGTGTGTGTGTGTGTGTGTGTGTGTGTGTTATTAGAATGCAACTGGCTTTACTTATTTTGACTAGACCCTCAGCAGGTACCCTGTGATGGTGCAAATGAGAATTGCCCCCAAAGGCTCAGATATTTGAATGCTTAGTCTCTAGTTGGTAGAACTGTTTTGGGAAGGATTAGGAGGTGTGGTCTTGTTGGAAGAGGTGTGTCACTTGGGGTGGGCTTCAAGCTTTTAAAAGCCCATGCCCGGTCCTGCTTCTTTCTTTGCCTCCAACTTTTGGATATACATGTAAACTCTCAGCTACTGCTCCAGAGCCATGACTGCCTATCTGCTGCCAGACTAACTCCTTGCCATGATGACCATAGACTCACCCTCTGAAACTGTAAGCAAGCCCCCTGTTAGATGCTTTTTTAAAAAATAAGTTGCCTTGGTCACGGTGTCTGTTCATAGCAATAGAAAAGTAACTAGACATCTCCAGAACATTCAGGATGGCTATTTCTCCCTCAGTTAGCCCCCTCTGGAAGTGCCCTCACAGACATAGTGTGGTGATTCTTAATCCAGTCGAGTAGACAATGAAAGCTAAGCTGTTTCAGTTCCATATAGCTCTTCCTTCAAGGAGTGAAAGGGGTAAGGCCATGCTCTTCAGACATAGATATGAGCAGCAGA